ACAGCAACATATTCTCATAAAAGAAACACACCAGCTTTTTTAGAGGCTGCTTTTTCAGCTTCCTAGTTATTAAGGCGTAGATTGTATTAAAGAAGCCGGTGTAGTAATCTTGTTGCAAGAGGAAACACTGATAAAAGATCAAAAGTGCTCCGCTGGTGTTGAAAGTAGTTCAAAGAAAAATCAAGCAACTTCTCCCTCGAATTCTAACGTTGGTAAATATTTTCCTGTCTCAATGGTTTCACGTTTTCTTTCATAGAACTTTATATTTTTTTGTAGTATTGCTGATATCCAATGCTGCCCCTGAGCCATATGTGATAGTTCCTACAACCAGTCTCACTCCTGCCTTCATCCCTGATTTATAAACACCTACAAACTGCCAAAGATATTGTTGACATACTTTAATGAAGTCCACGGGAGAGCAGTGAGACACTGAATGAGGTACAAAGACACTACAGTAGCTAAACAGTGGGTGAAAACACATTACAGAGTATCTGATCTTCGATACTTGCATGGGTGTCAACAGGACCCTGCCTACTTCAGTCCTCAGCATCTTTTGTTGTAGTTTCTACAGGAAAAGGTTCAGTATGTGCTACAGTGTTGCAGAACCTGGCTCACTTGCAGTATAGTGGTACAGAGATTATCGTACTCTGAGATGTTGATGTACCTCACTCTCCTCCTTTGTGTCTCTCTCACTTATACAGTATGGTAGACACGCAGCAGTTCAGCAAACTACTGTAAAATCCAGTTTAGAGGAAAATGGTGAAACTAATGCCTTATATGAGCCAAAAAATCCAGTTTAGAGGAAAATGGTGAAGTGTGAAACTAATGCCTTATATGAGCCAGACACCTGTGGATTTTAAACAACAAGGCTGTGGTTGTTGACATTGCCTGTGAACCTTTTCTACTTCCAAAACCAGTGGAGCACTTCTGGTCATTTTTTGTGGCTTTACTCACAGTTGCAGATTATAGAGTCCATTTCTTACATACAGTCTACTAGAGGTTTAGACTAAAAAAGGCTACAGATATTTCACCTCTAAATGCCTACATATATTTATTACACTTTAGGCACAGCACATAATATGCAATCTTTTAGGACATGCTAAGCTAGCCAGCACTCTTTTTTAAAAATAAACAAAAAATAAATAAACTTTTTATTAAAAAGAAAACAAAAATGCTGGACACACAGTGGAAAAACCTCAATTATACTTTCATCCAGCAGCAACAAGCTAAATATAGAGCTAATTAGCCTTCAGTCTGGTATATGCACCCAGGCAGTTACACCAACTATCTGATTATCTGACATAATCATTTTATCTACTCTTTGACAACAGTTACAGACAACTATACTGTGCAACAAGAGAGGCGTTGGTTCAATATGCTGGAATTTAAGCATTAGGGAGTAGCCATGAATCATATCAGTAAGTGTTAAATTTGCAGCTGTTTTATCATCTGAGAAAGTTGATAATCCCCAATATAACATACAAAAACTGCTGTTACTCATATAATAACTACCAGAGTTTAGGAGGATACAATTTTACACATGGATCAGTAGGGGGCAGAAGATTCTCACTTTTGACTATTAATCAACTCGGCTTCAGTCGCAGCTTTTGAGGGCTTTTTAAAAGCACAAGTATCTTTGGTATCAAGTGTTTATTGCTGTGATTATTTGTTAATCCTTATTTTAAATCTCACTTAGTAGTACTAATAATAAAACATTGTATATTTGGACTGGCGTTGCTAACAGCTGGGCTAGTTTGCCACTTATGGCAAAGCTGTGATTGAGTGTTTTACTTTATTTACATGTTGACCATGTATTTGTGCTAATTTTGGGGGGATTTAAGTTAGGTACAGTACACGTCTCAGGCAATAACTCTAAATTTAAATGTTTATTGTGTAAAAAGATGCTTATGGCACCAGTGGTGACTTTTTATGTGCTCTTTAATTCAGTTTCTGTTTTGAAAAAATCTTTGCTCATTATTGTTGTATTTAAAGGATGAAATCCATATATGAGTGTAATGATGTTGGGTGCTCCCTCTAAACCCACATGACTGCCTACATGCCATTTTGAACTGTGAAGTGCAAGGCCACTGGTGGCTTTACGTAAGCAATAAAAACCTATGTTTGTGGTGAATCTAAATGCAAGTGTTTGTAATTATTACCATAGCAACCAATAGAATTCTGTTATCCTCAAATACAATGATGCGGTCCAAGTGAATCATGTGAGACCTGTCACTGGTTTGATGAAAACTACCCAACATAGTTGTATGAAATTTTAAAATAAAAAATCTGTAACAAAATTTCTCCCTGGGGATAAAGTAAGTATTCCTGCAAAATAAAATATAGCACAATTTTCTAAATAAAGGTAGTATGTATGTTTCATAAACGTATGCTCCAATAATAATACATATTTTCGACAAGTTTGGAATAATTAATATATTCGACAAGTTTGAAAGTTAAGTTATGCTGCCACAACGAAGGTATTTGTTGGACTCGCCCTTTAAGACGTCTGCGCATGCGTAGGACGGGGGCAAAGTTAACTCCTGAACTTCGTAGTCAGAAGAACATACTGATTTATAAAATACCAGTGAAATCAGCGACCGGCTGACATGGCGTTTCGGCGAAGAAACAAGAGCTATCCTTTCTTCAGCCAGGAGTTCCTGATTCAGAACCATGCCGACATCGTCTTCAGTTTAGTCATTTTCATTCTGATTGGACTGATGTTTGAGGTGAGATGGATCTCTTTACTTTTTTCTTCCCTCCTCGTCGCTCAGCTGTTTCACAGGGCAACGATGGACCTATGCTGCGAAGCCGAGTCAAACGGTTTACGACTAAATCAGTTAGGCTCTGTCTGAGGAATAGTTGCGCTTGTTTAAGTGCATCTGCAGCTGCGTGCCGCTGCTTATCACTTCGCAGACATGGAGGCTGCTTTGCTGCACTTTTCTTCACGTAAAATCACACAGCAACAAGCCGATTAAAGTGGTACTGGAACTAAAAACGTCAGTGTATTGTCTTTTTTGTATTGTCAGTGCATTTACACTTCTGGTGCTGACTTAAGGCCATTCTTTGTGCGTGTACTTTGTGAATTTCTCAACTGACGATACCGTTGGAGGCAGCATTAAAGTTGTAAAAATGACAGTGGCGTGTTTTTGAAAGTCATTTTTATTTAAATAAACTGATTTCACTCCTGTTAATCCCGTTTCCAGTAAAGTTAATCCGTCGGTTTTGCTTTCTAAAACCACGTATTGAAAATTTTGAACAGGAAGTAATTTTCTAAATTTCAAAGTAAAAGCTTTTTTGCGACTTGTCCGACGTTTAACCGCACCGTCAGCATCTTTGCGTTTTGTTTTGATGTGATGAAACGGAAGTGGTGCGAGTTTTTGTCGCAAACTGGGGTTAGAAGGTTACTGCCACGTCTCAATCTTTGAACCGCTGCTTCGAGTGCTGTTAACATGTCTTTCCTCCACACTTATATCAGATTTGTTTGTGTTTTAATAAAGTTTGGTTAACAATCATTTCTATATTTTATTTCTGAAAATGCTTTTACAATGACGTCCGGCTTCTTGCTCAGCTTCGTACCATGTCCAATTTGAAACAAAATCACTAGCTTTCTATGAACACGAAAATATTTTAACAATGTTTCTGGACAAACAAGCAATAACTAAAAGGAATTTAATCCAATTATATCCAAAAAAAAGATACTTAGCATTATAAGTATAGTGGGATATACAAAGTTATCAATATTACAATATGAAGTGTTAGGTAATACCTAACACTTCATATTGTAATAAGGAAGGAAGATTAAACAAAACTGACTAACGGTAGAAGACAAAAGACTAAGAAAAATCTAAAAAGAAAGCCAGTAAAAGGCATGTCTTTTTGATTCAAAATATAAAGACACTGTTGTCTAATAGATTATCACTAAAGTCCTGCACAAGTAGGACTTCATGAGTAGACAGAAAGCTGTTAGCCTCTTCCATATGTTAAAAACTGAAGATTTCAGTTGTACAATTAATTTGACTTGCATAATATAGTTGGACACAATAAGACAAGTTAATATTTATTTAACAAGTTATCATAAATTGTTTTAGTTTTCTTACTGATCTTTTTACTAAAGCAATTAAAGCACTTGTCATTGAATGCATGTGTGTGCTGACAATGTCTAAGCCACAGCTTTTGCATTTACCAAAGACCAACAGGGGGAAAAAATGGTTTATTTGATGCTGTTGGTTGACTTTAAACAAATAAAAAGCACAAACAGGGGATTTCCCAAGTTCAGAAACAAAGAGAAGAGCAGAGCAGAGCTGCAGCTGGTGTTACATTAAGAATACACTTTGCTGACAGGTCATTCAGTGCTCGGGGGGTGGGGGGGGTGAGTTTTGTCAGGTGACAGAGAGGTGGTTATGATGTGACGCAGCTGTAGCAGTCCTGAACTGGTTGATTAATACCAAAAGAAAGAATTGGTTTGTTCCGCTTCCTTATTCAACTTCTGTCCACACCTGCCATGTTAATTTATTGTCAATGTAAGCAGACTGATGGTTCAAACTACGCTGCTATGTGTCAGGATGAAACGTGAACCGTGCATGCTACAAAAAAAAATTATGCAAACTATTTACCTTTATTTAATGTGCCTTGGTTTACAGAACTTTATGCTGATCTTTGTTCAAAATAATGGAGAAAGATATATTTATATTCTATACAAACTGCACAGACAATATATTTTTATTTATTTATTTATATTTCTTATACTTGCACTACTGTACTACTCAGTAGGAGGGTAACAATTAAAAGGTCGAGTTTGTTCTTTCTTGACTTGCTCGATTTAAAAGCGGATTGCTTGATATACCATAAGAGCCATAAGAGTTTTTTTTAAAGGAAAACATTTAGTCGACTAATTGTTTCAATGAGCTGGCTAAGATTTTGAAGGTTGCATTTTTTTGAAAAGTGATAATCAGGGATTTTTCTCCTTCCCAGTGTCAAGTCTGAGTTCCCAGACTTGACACAGCTGTACTCACAGGCCAACAAGGTCATGTGTTTTTGTCTCAATAGTTTGAAACAAGCCTTAGATACAAGCCTTATCATGCTGGCATACCTTTCAGACATGCTCATTATAGAGATTCTGACTAATCATAGTGCCAGGTGGGGAGGAATGAATGACTCTTCCAAACCTTCTGGTATCTGAAAATATATATAATTCACACCCGGTGAGAAATTCCTGCTAAACCAAAATGGCTAATCACCATCTTTTCTCATTTCTAGGCAACAGCCAAGACGGCCATACTGTTCATCCAGCCTCAGTACAACGTCACTACACTATCACTAGGTACACAGTGCAGTTTCACTCATTTTTAAATCACACTCTGAGACTGATTTTTCCTATTTTGTCGTCCCACACCAACAGCTCTGCCAGTGCAGTGCATTACTGAATAATTACTGTCATTGAAGTCTGATAACAGAACAGTTTATTTTGCAACAGGATGTTTGACATACCTCTGACTGTAGACACTCTGTGGCTGTGCGTGTTTGTCCTCTCACATGTGCGTGTGACTGTAGACACTCTGTGGCTGTGCGTGTGTATTTAGAGGGAGAGGTGACATTGTACCATTACGGCTGGAAAGACAGCGCCACCATCCTCTTCTATTTCTTCATTGCCATCATACTCCACGCAGTTGTGCAGGAGTATCTTCTGGATGTGAGTACACGCTTACTGTACACAGGGAATAATAATAATAATTAATTGAGTCACTTGTGTGTTTTACAACAGGGAAATTTACAGTGAGAGTATTTTGCTCTGATCAATAAAAAAGCAAAAGCAAAGAAAGATTGAAACATTACAAAAAAAGAGAATAAATAGGTGAATAGTTGTTGTTGTATATATGTATACAGTAATATTTTAAGAAATTCCCATCTACATTTAGCTGTTAGCTGTTGTAAATGTGCTAATGTTAGCTCCAGTGTTCTGAGACAGTTCACATCTGATCCATGTGAACATGTGAGCCCTTGAGTCATTGTTCAGAAATAGGCCAGTGAGGAGGGACAGGATTTATTTTAGCTCTTGTTACCAAAGAGTCGTCAGAGATGTTTCTTTATTTTCTTTTCAGTGTCAAGTCATAAATAACTGCCTCTGTCTTTTCCTGCCCCAGTTTTGTGTGTCAGTGTGCGTCCACCTGGTTACATGACAATCACAGAGATCCAGCTGCATTAACATGATCTGCCCTGTCGTGGGTTCTGTTGTCATTTCTGCTACAGAAAGTGAACCGGCGCCTCCACCTCTCCAAGAGCAAGAACACCAAGTTCAACGAGTCGGGGCAACTGTGTGTCTTTCACCTGGTTTCAAGCGTGTGGAGTTTTTACATCGTTGTCACAGTGAGTGCGATGTATCAGATTTGTCAGCTTTAATGATAAATGCTATTTCAACATAAGATAATGATCTGATCTTCTACCACAGGAAGGATATCTCTTACATCCCAGCAGCCTTTGGGAGAACTATCCTCATGTTCACCTCAGGTATGAAGTCACTACTGGTCATGTGTTGTCAGTGTCCTTTAAATGTTAAAATATTATGTATTCTTGTGTCGTAGTCACTTTACCAAACAATCTAAAAACACAACCAGTCAATGGGTCAAAATTTAAAACCAAGGTGTGGGCTGAACAGGATCAACATTTCTAGAACCAGAAAATAAAAAGGTAAATGTTAACATCACAAAACAATAAGAATTTTGTTTTTCAGAAATGTAGGATATTCTGACTGTAGATTTGATTAGAACATTGAATGATGTGATTGGCTGGATAAGACAAACGAGCAAACAAAATAACTTTAAAATTGTTTAAAAAGTGAATTCATCTATGGTTTGTGTGTGCCTCTGTGTGGCGCAGGTTTCAGGTGAAGTTCTTCTACCTCACTCAGTTAGCCTACTGGCTCCATGCCTTACCGGAGCTGTATTTCCAGAAAGTACGCAAGGTCAGTACAATGGCCCTGGAAAAGTGGAGGAATGTAACATGTTTGTGGTTCTTGAGAAGTCATGAAATCTGTGTTTTATTTTCTTCTAGGAGGAGATGCCTCGGCAGCTGCAGTACATCTGCCTGTATTTGCTGCACATCTGTGCAGCTTATCTATTAAAGTAAGACAATGACACAGGCCATTTGTTATACACATTCTGGGGTGTTGGTCTGAAGTAACTTACGTATAACAGGGATGCATCTGAGCACTTCACCCTGACCTTGTTGCTGTTGTTTTTTCTTGTATAGTATGACTCGTGTGGGTCTAGTTCTACTCTTCCTCCAGTACGTGTCAGAGTTGGGTTTTCACATCGCCAGACTTTTCTACTTCACAGATGAGAACCATCAGAAAATGTAAGTCCTGCTCTAAAATCATTTTGTTTTTATAGCCACCCCCACATCACTAACACTCCAGGTTCCACTTCTCCCTTAAGGGCTGGATCACATGCACATGATGTTTTTACTGGTTTATGGCACCTGTTATTGTTCAGTGTTTGTGATCATTGTCTCAGCACATTTCTAAGACCTGATTATGACTTCTGTGTGTGTCTGTCTATGTGTTGTGTTCTAGGTTTGACCTGTGGGCGGTCAGTTTTGTGTTTACACGCATGGCCACTCTGACCCTCATGTTTTTGGCTGTAGGGTTTGGTTTGGCTCGTGTTGAGAACCAGGGCCTGGACCTGGAGATGGGAAACTTTAACACTTTACTGATCAGGTAAACATATGGCTGAACAGATGTGGATGTGCAGTCATACGTAAATAAATGACAAAAATAGTCCTCTCTTCTTTGTCTCCTCCAGAATGACAGTTCTACTGCTAGTATGTTTCACCCAGTCCTGGCTGCTCTGGAAGTTTATTCGCTTCCAGCTCAGACGCTGGAGGGAGTTCAGACACGAACAGGCCATCAGAAAGAAGACAGCACCCAAACAACCTCTACGGACACTTAAGAGGGACTCATGTGAGTACATTTTACCCTACTTTTGCCCACCATTCTACATGTTGAAATCATGATCGATGCTCTTACCTCTCTACTCATTCTCTCCTAGTTGGTCATTATGAAAACGGAGTCGTCAAAGCCGAGAACGGAACCTCCCCGAGGACCAAAAAACTCAAATCACCGTAGAAGTACACACACAGCCTGTCCCGAACAATAGCCGTAGCCCCAGGCCTAGGATTGTCTACAGCCAGAACAGGGAAACCCAGCAGTTGTCGGCCTCCAGGTGTCCAGTTGACCATGTCCTGAGATGTTGGAGGCACTCAGTTGCTGCAGACCTGGGCTTAATGCTGGAAAAAGAAAATCAAAGGAAATTTCCTGAGCCCCACGGACACTTTTCACTTTACTCTTTTCTTCATATCAGTATTTTTGTATATCCACCCATCCCACCATCCCATCCTAAGGAATGTTATTCCTGCCCCGCACACTTCAGTGTTGAATGTGTCCGTACATATTCTCATTTACAAGTACTGTATTGATTGTAGTGTTGTCTGATAACACAGTGGTTTTGCAGCTCTCTACTGACATAGCTTTGCCTCTCCCTCTGGTCTGATCTTTTGTAAAGAAAAAACACCCCCCAAATGTTACTGATCGTACGCATAGATATGAGCTAACTGTACGCTGTCTTTAGCCTCATCATTTACTGTCACAAAAGGGATTCAAACCAATCTGTGGTGTTTACCAATCCCATTGATTTACATCTGTCTGAAAAAGAATCTTCAGTGGTCTCTTCACAGATTTGTATCTATCAAATATGTATGTTGGATATTATGGCATGCCATTCTATGTTTATTATTTTTTCCTTTGTAATTGTTTTGTTAATTTCTTTATTAAAAAATGCATTTTTCACAAGCTCGTGCCACTAATTTTACTTTGTGATTGCAAAATGTTAGAAATTATTTCATTGAAATGAGCTAGAGGTTAATATTTTAAGGTATATACTCCAGATAACTAAATTAAATTTAAATGTTAACTTTGAATATGGATATAAAATTAGGTTGTTACATTTGTGAATACAACTTTTTATATTACTTACTATAATATATTTGTTGATATAAAATTAGGTTGTTACATTTGTGGATATAACTTTTTATATTACTTACTATAACTTATTTGTTGATATATCGCGGTTGTTGCGTTCCAAGACCCATCGCGAAAAGGGAAAATCCGCGAAGTAGGGGCGAGATAGTTTATATTATTTACGTATATATTTACCCTTTACGAACCTCTTCCCACACTTTTATGAACCCTCCCTAGACTACATTACCCTTTTCCATTTATTTACGTGCACAGTAGAGTTGTATAATGGAAATACAGGACATACATATTACGTAAATAACTTAGCGGAATTCGAGTAATTGAGCCTCTCCTTATATTAGGAGGAATAGGAGACGGACGGACCGTATATGGAAGCCGGCCACATTATCGACAGGACATACATATTACGTAAATAACTTAGCGGAATTCGAGTAATTGAGCCTCTCCTTATGGAAGCCGGCCACATTATCGCAAATAAAAATAAAGGCTGTTAACTGTCATCTGTGTCAGCGTCTTCGTTCGGGCTTCGTAACAGAAGCCTGAGAAGATGAAGCGCTCTCATCATCATCTTTTAGTTTTCATCATAGGCCGTTAAATTAGGGTCAACTTTGACCAAATACAAGAGCACACATTTTACAAAAACGTACTGTAGTGGCGGACAGACGAGGGGAGATGCATGAGCCAATCAGCGTGAGGAACAGAAGTGAATGCTCAACTAGCCAATAGAATGCTAGAATGTGCACACGCTCTCGTCCAGGTAAACAAAGCCATTTTTAAAGCCAACACTTTCGTATGCATATTTTTTTAAATAATGTCTTTAAGTTTGTTTTTGCTATATAAACAAAGCTTTAATTGTTTTAGGTTAGAAAATGTTTTGAACAAAAATAATGAAAATATTGGAAATTTAAAAAAACAAATCCGCGATGTACTGAGGGAGCGAAAGGAGAACCGCGATATAGAGAGGGACCACCGTATATTTCCTAAAGAAGCCCTGATATAGTGAGTAAAGGTCTAGCTTATTTACTTCTTTACATTATTCTAAATTAAACTAAAGCTTACGTTCAGATGTTGTTCTTGTCAGTAATATAGTAATATATTTGAAAAAGCACAGCCATTATGTTTCACATCACACACAGGTATAAATTCATTTTATGTTATATTTAGCATATTTAGCTTACGAAACCCACACGTGACAGCAAAATATTAGATTTCTAATACAGCAAACGCTTAAATGTATCTGGAATGTATCAATGCCTTGTTTTATATTAGTTATTAGCTCACCCCGCTGTGCTGATCCATCTGTCAGGTCAGTCTCGTCGTTATTCTTGCAAATATGCATTAATAGGCCTCTGTCTAGTAGATTTTCTTAAAAACCCACCATATCTCCTGTTTTTGTTTATGTGCTTTGAACAGCCGCGCTTTTTTGACGTCATAAACATGCGTATTGAAAAGTCATAGAAGCCCCGCCCAAATGTTTAAGAAGGGAACGCTGGGGGGCGCCGTTTCCAAACAAACAGTTCTGTTTTACAGTTCTTATTTTTAGAAGAAATGAAGCGATAGCGTTGGATACATGTTAACAAAAGGGAATTCAATTAATGAAATGATAACAAACACAGCGATATTATAGAGAATTATGATAATAGTTAATTAACATAATAGTTAATGTGAATAATTCAAATAGACTGACAGATAGATACCATAGACAGATAGATCCTCTGCACCAATCTCAACTGGGAATGTTGCACCTCAGGCCTGAGGAGGGCCGTCAAGGAAGAGCCGGTGCATATAAAGAAAGAAGTTGTTGATAAAACACGTGAATTAAAATTAATTTTCTTTAAAAATTAAATCATTATCTAAGTTTAGAAGATGAGGAAATAATGGGTAACTAAAAACATGTTATAAAGACTAGGACAGGTTATTAGATGGTTTCATGTTTCTAACAGCAAATATTAAGATGTAATAAGAACAAGGACAGTAAGCACAAACATATGTTTTATTTGAACTGATACATTTTGTTGAGCAATGACAACTAGGCAGTTAAAAAAATACAGTACATTTAACTTAAAACTTAAAGTATGGTAAAGCATACCTATAGACATAAAAGAATAACTTCCTAAAATGTACATCTTTACACTGTGTTTACAAATACAACATAAAAAGACAGGGGAAAAAGTGCAAAAAAGAGTCAATAAAGACTGACACTCCCCACCTATCTAACAGAGGATAAATGTAAAAAACAAACAAACAAAAAAACAAAACAAAAAACATACTTCATATTCCTAACCTGTGTTTGATGCACATTCCCTAACAAAAACAGTAAGCCATCATGTCCTGCCGTTGAACTTGTATTGCTGTGATTTGGAACTCGTAAATGAACAGTGCGTTGTGGGATGCTCATTGTCATTTCTTACAATATTCACAGTATCTCATTCCAATTGTGTGAGCGCCCCTGAAACGACCATTTAAAACATCTTTTAATAAATATATTTTACTCTCATTTACAACCTGTCTGTGGCTTTAAGTGACAATGATAGAGGGCAGTCGAATTAGCATGCTAACCAAACGTAATACACACAAAGTGATTTTACTCGAGAAATAAAACAAAAACATCTTGTGATTGATGGAGGAGTCTGAAGAACAGAAAAGACTCTGGGTTGAAGTAGTAGATCAGTAGTGTGACAGTTGGGAGTGTCCCATTATGTAAACAAAGAAATGAAAAGAGTTGACAATCCACCTGTGTTGAAAAAAAAAATACAGTACTGTCTTTAATAAAACCAAATTTTCCATAATGGCCCTTTTATGGTCCCTCTTGAAAATAATAATAAAAAAAAAAAGAAACTTGTGGATTGATGCCCATATCACTCTACACTATGAATGCCACCAATGACTGGATGCGGGAACACCTAAACTTTGCTTGAAATAAATAAAAGTCCTACAGTTTCTTATAGATTTAACTAAAAATATCAACAGCTTTCTGTTTTAAAGCACAATACCTTATTGACAACAAAGGCAGAGTGAGGGCAGGTCAATTAACTCAACTAAAACTAGTTACACGTGACCTATTGGATGCCATTTTGCCACTCTTTGTAACATTTATTGCTAAAAAGCTGTTAAAACTTATAGACCGTATATAAGAAATGGACACAGTCACGTGTGACATACTACGGTTGCAAAGTGAAGCCCTGAAACTAAGGTAGAAGTTAAACGTAAAAGTCTGTAGGTTTTCAAAGTAGAAGTAGTTTTTAGGCTATTTCTAACCAATGTGTCAACCACAATAAACATTTTTTACGAAAGATCTTACAAACTTTATTTTGTTGATCAAATGTGGCTGCCAGAACGGTCTCCTGCAAAAGTCATACTGTATCGCTTCGCTCAGCACCTCCGTAACCCTGCTTCAAATTCCGGAACTTAAAATAATCTGTTTGTTTTAATGACGTTCTGCTTCTTTGGTTTCTGCTCTTTTATGTTATTAATAGCAGCTTAAACTAATCACAAGCCTTTAAAGCTTAAAGCTCCAGGTTCACTCTTATGCACTGTTCCTTGTTATATTTGGTTATTTATTTTACAATACTGAGAATATTCTATTGGGAAAATAAATCCAGTCCATTAACTCTTCAGGTGTGTTTTTACTGAGGTTATAAATCCAGTAACAAATAGTCAGGTTACTAGTGAAGCCAGCAGAGAACATGAACAGTACTTTACTCTCAGAACCTCAAGGCTGTGTCCATATCTTATGAACAGTCTGTGGTTAAAGGGGAAAGACTAGCCACAAAGTGCTAATGTCCGGAGCTGCTAATTGAACCCTAGCTTTCATCGTGATTAACCACTTCAGCACAGGCTGAAGAAATTAAAACATTAAGAGCCATTTAAAAGACCCAGCAGGAACAAGTAAGTCCTAAAGTCTGTGTATGATTTAGAATGACAAATGTATTCTGAACTACTTAATCTGCAAAACACTCCTCGCCCACTGAACGACTCCTGTGACTGTGAGGGTCTCTTAAAATTATTTTCATATTTAAACCCGTCCATTCAAACTGGATGTCTGACAATATTTTGCATTGACCACATATTGTTGACTTTTCCACATTTGATCACCACTCACTCACTGAAACATAAATAACCCAGGAAGTGCTAAGGCAGCTAACATGCTTATTGTGCCGTTAAAAGCAACCTACGCTGTGTCTAACTCTGAAACCCTGCAGTGAACAAAGTGAAGGTATTCACAGAAGCTGTTATTAATGAAACCAAAGATTTTCTGCCTTCGTCTGGAGACCAGTAACGAAGCTTTTAGCGCTCAGTAAGTAGCAGTCGTCTCTTTGTGTTTTATTTGTTGGCTTCAGACAAAACTACTGGAGCTCAGACAATGCAACTTGTCCCTCAGAGATTGGACAATATTGGGTTGGCTCTGCTGCGGCTCGCTCCAAAGGTACTTCTCCAGCTGCTCGTGGTCGATGGATCGCAGAGGGTCGCAGGAGCGCAGCGGGCTACAGGGTAAACTCTGAGACTGGATCATACCAGGAGTTTTCTGACTGGAAAGAATGGCTGAGCTGCTAGTTTTCTGCGCCGAGTTTTGGTGCTCGTGTTCAACCTCGTCTTCTGAGCGGATCTCCACATAGTCATCGTCATCTTCCCCATTGTCCTTGAAGTTGGCCAGATAGTTCTGGGTGGGACTGAGTATGCTGAGAGCAGAGGCCCGATTTAAGACGACCACGTGTTGACCATCATGTAAGGTTAGGTCTGACTGGGCCAAGGTAGAACGTTCTGGAAGGCTACTCTGTCGACCAACCCGCCCCAGACCTGGGGTACGGAGTCTGTCTGTAGACCGATCTACATTGGATCTGTTACATTTGAGTCCAGACTGGATGTTGTTCTTCTTCTGCTGGTCATCTACTGAACTTAACGACTGACAGTGACTGGGTGGAGAAGGCTTTGAGGCTGGTGAAGATGGAGCGTTGAAGGACGGATGTCTCTTTATGGAACTGTACACGTGCTCGTCTTTCTCAACGGGTGCCGACATGCACGAGCTCCACCTCTGAAAAGGTGGGTTGACTGGCGAAGAAGGGAAAATCTTGAGTGAGGGCGTGGAGCAGGCGGAGGTGAGCTTGCGCTGAGGGGTGGAGGACAGTCGAGCAGTTCCAGCCTCAGTAACTGAGGAGACGAAGCTGGACAACTCTCCGTTGCTGTACGTGGAGTGAAGCCAGTCAGTCTCCAGGGAGGTCTCAGGCATGGATGGAGAAGACGGAAGACCTGGATGGTGGTGGTGATGGTGGGTGGAGGTCTGACCACCAGGACTTGGAGGATCCTTGAACATGATCTGGTCATAGAGCTGGGAGTACTCAGCTATTCTTGCACCTGAGGATACAGCAAGAGCAATAGTTCAAGTTTTAGCTTTAATGCCACAAAGTCTGTTTATGCTAGCCACAATGTGACACACACACACACACACACACACACACACATATATATATATAAACTTGATATTACTATCTTGTGTTACCTATTGCTGCGCCTCCTTGCTTCTTCTCCTCTAAGATTGCTGCCAGATCTTTCTGCTTCTTCTCCACTCTGGCCCGAGTGCTGGAGTCTCCAGGGTCCATGCTCCTCATGCGCAGCAGCTGGTTGGCCTTCTTGATCTTCTGGCTGTACTGTCGTGCCATCAGAAACACTCTGCTCTTTGTTTTGTCCATTAGTTCCAGGGGGAAGTCCACAGATTCTCCCAGCAGGAGAGAGGAGGAGGCCAGGGGGGAGTCTAGACCTGCCAGTTCCCCTGGAAACAAACTATGAGAAGCGCTTCGTTGGGGGAGCTCCACCAGGTCGTCGTCCTCCAGGCGGAAGCTGCCGCTGCTGAGGCGAGCCAGCCTGTTCCGGATGCTCTTCACTGTCCCAGGGGGGGGCTCCGGGACCACAGGAAGTGGTTCTGAAGTTGGCGTGGGACTGTGGAGTTCTTCATCAGTGGTGCTTTCACTTTGATGATCCGGCAGGTTGATGACAGGGATGGTGAATGATGGTGGGGCTTTAGGGTGATGTGCGGGGGGACTCTTCACTGGGGTGCTGGCTCCTTGGGTTCCAACTACAGAAGGGATCTTCTTAGGACTGTTTTTGACTGACGAGGACTCACCGGCACCGACAGGGAAAGCTGCTGGAAGCCGATCAGCCTTTTTTTCATTGTTCTTGATGTAGTTTTCCAGGTCGTTCCAGATTTCATCCACCTGCTCGGACATCTTATCTCCTTTGTGCGAGCGCTGGGAGAAGGACTCAGAAGCAGACGAGGAGGAATATTCTGACTCAATAGAACCTAGAACAGGTCTTTCATCTTCTCCAAAGTGGAGGCTCTCTTCAGACACAAACCCCACAAGACTTCCTGTCAGGTCTTGTTCAGAGGCCAGCAGACTGTCCCTCCCCTCTTTAAGCTTCTGGTTCCCTGCTCTCGGCTCTGTTACTGGAGGTTCCCTGAAGCAGATTGTGTCATAGATGTTTTCTTCTTCTATCTTAAGATCACAGGGGCCAAGCTGCTTCCCCTCCTGTGTTGAGGACCTGTTGCTCTCAGAAGAACTGTCTGGTTCTATCAGATGCTCCGTGACCTCTGAAACTTCACTTGTTGACCTCTGTGAAGCCTTTGCCTCTGTAGATGACTCCTTCCATGGCTGGGTTTCCTCTGGGTCTCTCCTGATGAGGCCCATGCTCTTCAGATCTTCATAGCTGATGTTGTCATACACGTTCTCAATATCGTCCAGTGTCAGCTGCTCAGCTGAGGAGGATCCAGACATATCGTTGCTGGACGATTCAGTGTGGATCACCTCCAGGTTACTGTGCGTGATGGAGTCATCGTCCGGACTCTGACGAGCTGCTGTGGCCTTCTCCCCTGCACTGCTGGCCCTCCGCAGGACTCTGCTGCCGTTAGAGGGAGGTTCGATTTGAACTGTAGGCACCTGTTCCACATGCCAGCTGCAGGGACGGGCCGTTCTTGGAGAAGAGGTGGCCTCAGACGGCTCTGCAGGAACCTCTGGTTCTGATCCGACAGGCTCCGTGGGAACAAACATCTGGTAGATGTCCTCGTCCTCGTCGTCCGGCTGCATGGTCCTCTGGCGAGTGGGGAACATGGCCCTGCGAGCCCGATGGTCTGCCCAGATGTTCCTGACAGAATTATCACTTGGTGTGACTATGACAGAGGGCACAGGAGTGTCAGGGGGCTCCTCCATCACATGTGGGGTCCTGACAAGGGGCGGGTGGCGACTGCTTTCACGCACCAGTGATTCTCTTGCTTTCTGTGAGAAGACAGGAAGTATGTATTGTTTTAATTTTTTTATGTTGTATGTTTTATGTTTTCATTGCAACTTTAATGATGTGACTGGAATATGTACGGCCTGGAAATGTAATTAATTGTTAATTGTTAAACTGTGTACTTTACAACACTTCAAGGTGTAAGTCAAACAATAAACATCTTTTCTTTGGTTATAATGAATTACAACTTCTTTAAAAAAATCTTAAAAATTAACCTTTGGTTATAATGAATTACAACTTCTTAAAAAAAATCTTAAAAATTAACAAATAAATGTGTGTGTTCACATAGTTAAAAGAATTCTAAAAACCAATCAGACAGAAGATCTGCAGTGATACCTGTAGGTCTGATGCACTCATGTTGAAGGCCTTCCATTGTTCTATACTATCTACAGACGCCTGAGGGTTCAACCTCTTCCTGCTGCTTTTCCCTGGAACTCGCAGGCTCTTTCCACCTCCCTGAGTCCAGAGATGAAGAATTAATTGTGTTAATAACAGAAGAAGACAGAGTTTCAAGGCAAGTTTCCGTACAGAACTCACCAGGCCGCTGTCATCCTCGTCGTCAGCGTCCTGCTGATGCTGCTCCTCTCCTTCCTCTCTGTCACTGTGGTCGTAGTGATCACCGGGGTCCAGAGATTCTTGTGATTGGTTAATGAGACTGCGGCTGCGACCGATGGTTCCCAGAGCCAGCTGGGACACGGGGGAGAGCAGTGTGGCCCCCAGACTTGTTCGCTGTGAAAAAGGTCAATTTAAAGAATTAGAACTAAAAAACCTACTGAACATATTATGTGGTAAAACCTGCAGAAAATATAGGAGTCCTTGTTTTTATACTTCACCTTTTCTCCGTCCATGTTGGCGGCGTTCTGTTTGGCATTCTTCAGTAATTTGGACAGAGGTTCTAGGAAAACAAATGTATTTACAGTAAAAACCAAAAACATTTCATGTCTAATATCTGAAAAACATATATAATTTCCAAATCTTAATTTTCCATGTCTCACCTTTTCTGCGTCCTCTACGAGGAGTCGGACCCTCCTTGGTTTGAGGGGAATCCTTCTTGTCACCATCAGCGCTGTAGTGAAACCCAGGATGATCTTGAGAGAAACAATGTAGTAGTACAAGTAGAAATAATGTCAGGCAACAAAGTGAACAATCAATATATTTTATTATTTGATTAACAGAACGCTGTAATTGCAGCAGACTTGCACTTACGCATTGCATCCATTTCCAGAATGGCTTTTTTGGCCTGAAAGAAAATGATAAAATACAATTTAGTTATGGATAAAAATGGACACTAGGTGGAGCCATTACACGACTTGAAAACTTTTGGAACATTCTCACGACCTCGTTTTCCAAGGGTATGATTCAACAAGTGGATTAAAAGACAAAGCAGAAAAGCAGAAGAAGTCATCTACTTCAATGGTTGTGAAGTAGAGGAGCAGGAGGATTAATGAAGATAGAAGGAGCTGTCAGGAGACGGGGGTCGGCTCTTACCTTTGCAGGGATTTTGGCAGGGTGGTTTTCAAGGATGAGTCTCTTCAGGTGCAGGATCCACATGCGCTTGTCTTGCTGTGATTTTGCCTGCGGACAGAATGTCAAACATCACAGGGAGGATCAGTTCAGACCTTCTGGAGAAGGTTGGGAAGAAGCCCTTCAAGTTTTGGACAGGGTCCCAGTTACATCACAAATTGCACACAATAGTTAGGCAACAGCAATGGCCACCCAAGGCATCATAACGCTGGACATGTCTGAGCAGCTCAGTGAGGTGAGCCTGGGCTCTGCACAAAATAATCAAACACCTGCAAACAGCCACCATACTTTCTCGGTCCGCTGTTGCGCAACTCTTACATAAAACCATATAATTACCATCACAAAGTGTTTTGCTTTTTTGTTACGAAGGGTGCATTTGTGTGCATTGTTTCCATACCTGAACTGTGTGCTGTAGTTTGGGATTCTTGTAGTGAAAGATGCTGAAACTCAGAGGTTCTTTTGGAATAACTTCCACCAGCATTAGGTTGCAGCACTGTGACAGACACAGGGTTGCATGTCAACAATATTGTAATACTGTGTGTTTTTTTCCTGTCTGTGTATGTCAACTGACCAGGATGTGGGCCTTATACGTGTAGGTTTCTTCTCTCTTCTTGGTGATCAGCAGAAGCTTGTCAAACAGGAAGAGAGTTCTGTCGTTCTTGGCTCGCTGCAGACGAAATGTTCCTTCAAGGACCAGCTCTCCATAACCAATCAGATCAGGGCCTTTCCAGTTGGTCAGCTGGCTCTGGATTTCCTGTGGTGACCGAAAACATTGTAAATCAATTAGCTGGCTATGAAATGGTCAGTTAAAAAGATGACAGTAATGCCTACGATGCCAGCTGTCAGCCAAAGTTATGCATAAAAGCATAGTTGAATATTACCGTGCTTAATACAATAATAATATAATAGGAAAGCGCCAGTGGTTTCTAAAATGTAGGGTGGGTCCCTTTTAGGGGTGTGGAATTATTGCAGGGTGTTGCAGCAAGAGAAGTTTAAATTTAGTATGTTATATTTTTGAGATTGCACTGGTTTGTATTTTTTTTTTTAAATGAGAATAGCATAGACCTGGGGTCGCAGAAAAAGTCTGCGAATCACCAACACTATAAAATGACAAGGAATAAAATGGAGGTCTGGGCTGTGTTAATTGTGAGGTGAAGCTTCTCGTACCTGCAACCTGACGGCGTGCTCGTGTTTCCTCTTCATGTCGTTGATGTGCCAGGCCACTCTCTGCATGGTGTCTATGGCTTCCTGCACCACTTCATAAGTCTCCGTGTCCTTCTCCATATGGTTGGCTATCTCCTGCACACACAACAAACACCGCTGGGAGTTAGCATTTGCACCTACTGTGTGCACAAATCTCTCACACACGTTCACTACCAAACCGTTGGCTGTGGGACCTCTGCGTATACAACATATGTGCATGCATGTATACAGCCCAACGCCAACACATGCACAGGAACATACACACTGAGCAGCATATGTCTAGACATTTGGCTTCACCAGTGGAGATTAGTTTCACAAATCCATTTGCATTGGTGTACACACAAACATTAGTGTCCCGTCAGTGCACTTACAAGTGGGTGCATGCACTAGCATTTCTTAGGGTAAAGAGTAGGTGTTTGTGTGTGTGTGTTTTGGGAATAGGGAGAGAGAAACAGAAGCAGACGTACGTGCAGCAGTAGGTGATACTTGAGGATCCTCTGCACTGGCTTGAGCAGGTAGGAGCCCAAGGGTAAGGAGTGTCTCAGAGATTCCTGGCGCTCGCGGAAGAACTTGGCCAACGCCTTGTTCCTCATGCACTCGGTTAGCACAGCCACCGACCTGTGGAGACACAACACAGCAGGTAAGATGTCAGGGACGTGTAGCTAAACCCTAATTTGACAGCAGTGACAAATGAGATTTTTAATGCAGGGCCTGAAACACAATAATACGAATGTGATTTTCGCTGTGGTTAAAGAGAAAATGCAATTAATCTTGAAGGGAAAACCGAGCCCAGAGGAAATGACACATTCAGCTGCTAATTTACTGGTGTTGCTCATTCTAGCAGATCATTTAAAATCATTAAATTATTATATTATTATTTTTTGAGAACTCTGGTAGTATTGTATACAGTAAAGTGTTGTAGTCAAGTACCTCACAACATCCAGTGAGAGCTAAACCAATCTTTTCAAGTGATTGCTAAACTGCTAAAACTGTCACCAGCTACCTCACTCAGCACTGCCTTAAGACTGCACCCTGCTTCAGTCAAATCAATTATTATTATTACTCTGTCTTTTTTTGTTTTGTTTAAATTTCTAAACACCATGCACCACAACACCATCCAAAACATTTGACTTTGCTCCACTGTGGGTCTCTGGGTGGAACCTGTGCTTTACACATTATTTTCAGTGCTACAACCATAGCTTCGACTTCGTGACCTTAAAGGAACCAAGTTAACGAGTCAGACGTCCTGGGACAAGACAGGACTCTTTGACAAATGGAGGCTGTGTCCGAATGTGTGCGTATGCATGTGGAACGGAAAAAGTCAGAGGAGGGAAGACGGCGGTGAGCGGCCCAGAGCGCTCTTCTTCTACTGTGTTGTTGTATGTGCGCATGCATGTGCATGTCTGCATGTCTAGATTCCAGCACAGCTCCACACACAGGCCTCACATTGTTCTGGAGGAAACCTGACCTTAGAGCTCAGCATGACCATGATGCATCGGCAGCTTCTGCCAGGCTTGGTGTCTAAAACCTCTCCTACAGTTGTGTGTGTGTGTGAGTGACCTTGGCTGGGGTCACCAGCTGTGGTGTGGATGTGGGACAAGGCCTCACAGCTGACAATGGCCTCTTCAAACATACACATACACACACAGTACATATACAAAAGCATGCATACACACATACACACGGGAAAAAATGAGCATTTCTCATTTATAACTATTAGCTCTCAAATACTTCCTTCCACACGTGCCTTTCTAATGGTTCACTGTAGAAGAAATTTGGCAGCCAGAGGAGAGGGTGTGTTTAGTTGCTGCAGTGTATCTTGTCATGGAGAAAAGCCTCACGTTTCAGCCTTTTTTCATCACATACAATAGACAAACAGGCTGAAAAAAAAAAACCCCACCTCCACATTATTCCTGCAACCGTGTCCCACAGGACCACCCTCTCCCACAGAGCAGAATAAAACATTAACAGCTCCAGGTATGATAAGGTGACATCCATAATAATCTCAGCTGTCAGTGTGTGAGCAGTAACTCTGTCAATGAGGTCCAAATAAAAGGCATGGAGGAGGAAAAAGTGGAGCAAAGGGGAGGTAGAGATAGAGGGAGGGATGGAAGAGAGAGCCTGGGGCACAACAGGCAGCAGACACTGTGACTCCTGCCAGGGAGGCTTCTATAGAGAGCGTCCGTCTGTCAGGCAGGGAAAAATAGGTAATGCATTGATAAATAGGCACAATGGAGCCATGTGAGACGCTGGGAAGACAGAAAACGGAGGTGAGATTAGGATGGAGCACAATGGCAGGGAGAAGCCCGGCCTTTTACAGTGGACACAAACACACACAAGATTTGTTGGTGCCTTACCGTGGATAGTTGGTGCAGTACTGGGTATAAATGTGGAATTCTTCACTCTGGGAAAAACACAAAAACATTCAGAAAAATGTAATCAGGACAAGTCAGGTAGTGACACCTGTGAGTAGATGCACTTACATTATATAAAAATACATTGTTATATTATATATATGTAATACATTATATTAAAATATATTGCAAGTAGTACTAATTTAGTGTCATAAACTACAATAAGTGTAATACATTTACAACAAATGTAAGAAATGATCCAATAATCAGTTCTTATCAGATACAATCATCTGAAATATAACTATTAATTATCAGGTCCTAATCCATTACATCGTTATCCAAGTACATTAAAGTCCAAAATCCATTTTCTTATTAGTTTCACAGGAGGACAATGTTTTCATTTTTAGATCCTGATTTTACAGTTGTAACAACCGAAACATTTATCCACTAATGTGCTGACAATTGCATGACATGCTCTATAGCTTTTCTAGTTTTATGCTACTGGTTTCCCCTCATTTCTACAGTTTTACTGCAGATTAAAGCTACAAATTCTATTAGAGGTCAGGATTAGAGGTCACCACTTTCCATTGGTCTCTCAGGTATCTGCAGTCGACCGCTGCTGTTACAGTGACTCATTGGTAATTTAGTGTCCGCCGCTCTACACGCTGCCTCCCAGTTCACTGCCTCTAATCCAGAGTCTGCTCCGTGGTTTATGATTAGTGTGTATCCTGGCCTCTGAGCCTGTGTTGATGCTGAAGTGCTCACATTAAATGCCCCGTTATCCTTCGTTCCCTTCCCTTTAATTGAGATTTTTTTCCCACCTTTGAACGCCTCTCTGAACATCAAAGACATCAGACACAACATCAGTTATCAAAGATGAGATGATTCTCTTTCTCTGCACTTTACCTTTTTTTTCTCCCCCATGACATCATTAACCCATCCGTTAAACCTAGTTTTGATTTCTCCTTTTCATTGATCTGGACACGTGAACATTAATCTCTCAGGTTATTAAATTCTGTTTGAAAGCGTTGTTTTCTGCCTCTCACCGTCTAATGACCCCCTGGTTGTTGCGTAACATGAAAACGTAATTAAAATCTATTTGTGTCCATAAACACTCCGGGGTCTGAGGAAGTGGACGACTATCAGGACGGAAGATCATAAACTTTGGACACATGACACAGGTTAGTTCTGGAACATAATGTTCACAAAGCATTTACAGACATTTACAGAAGTACAGTCTGTTTGTTACGCTCCTGGCTGCAGCTTCATACACTTTCCTACGCTCACTTCCTGTAGGAAAGGAACAGTTGGACTCACAGTAGATGCATTGAAAAGTGTTGCCTTCATCCCACACCGAAAAAAACACAAAGTATGACTTCAGCTCAGTTTAAGCCTAGTTTATGCTCAGTGGTAAGCACACATACAGAGACAACAACAGAAATGATAGAACCAGGTGGACGAATACTCAGTTCTGTGTTAATGTTTGTCCACTTTTCAACCTGTTAAAAAAACCAAGTCGGATCCTATGGATTTTTTTATTGAAGACCTGGTTCACTACAAATTACAAGTGGAGCCCAGATCACCTCTGTCCCTCTCTCTCTTTCTTCCCTCTCTCTCTCTCTATATATATATATGAAAACGTATACAGACTTTTTCCTTTGCCTGAGGTTCTCCGTGAGAACCCAGTTAAATTGAAGAGCGGAGCTTCCCTCCTCGTCTCCAGCAGTCTGCTGCCACAGACCAGGCTAAAGCACAACCAGATGTGCCACCGTCGATTTCTGATGACACACACCAACGCACACTCCTAATACGCGTCCCTAATACCCGCTTGCACTTTGAAGAGCGGACCGCAAAATACATAAACGTCATTTTTTTCTTTTTCTGCAGAGCCTACAGAGTCTGCAGACTCTTTGAACTCCAACAGGAAAACCAGCAGACCCTGAAATAACTAATCTATGACACACTTTCATCTGAGAAACATATACAAGCAATCTGAAATCATATAATCATCATATCTGAGTACTGCATGTAAGCTGCGTGGCCCGCTCTTAAACCAAACCAAACCAATCAGAATTATCCTCAGTCACAGTAATTTTTCTACCGTGTTTATGGAAAGGTTTTAAATGTTTTTGGGCTCAGGCCACGACTCACTGCACAGTGAAACGAAAAATGCCAAGTTGCAGCAGTTACACTCATCATTTTAATAAAAGTAGGTAATAAATGTATAGTTCAGGACCGGACAGGACAGGGTGAGTCATGAGGTACGGAGTGGCAGTGGACCAGAAGAGATAACTGCAGATGGCAGGAGAACAGAGAGATCTCCTGTTAATTGTGTTCCTTCGTGCTCTCCTTCGCTGTCTCTGCTTCAGTCAGCAGGTATCAACCCATAAAACGGCTTAGTCAACACATAACACGGCGAGAATTTAGTCAAACGGACAGGAACATGAGGAGAGACGGCCAATTATCTGACAGGCAGGCAGAGATTTTAAGGCCAGATCCGACTCTTCTTCAAACACGGTGCAGGGTGGTGACTCTCAGGTGCTCTCTGATTAGTAAAAGTATTAGGTGTGTGTGTGTGTGTGTGTGAAAAACAGAGAGAGAGTCATACCGAAAGAGATTTTTTTCATGTTCCACAGATATTAACCATTAAAAAAACCATGTAAAATATATAACAAGTGACCATTTCAAAAGACGCCCCCCCATTCCCTGCCCCCATCTCCTGTCAAAATGCACGTCTGCAAAACATTCATCAGTGGGTGAGGAGACGTCAGTGCCCTGGGTTTGTTGTTTGCGGACCCCGGTTAATTATGCAGAGCAGGACTGTGGTCTGCTGTAAAAGCCTCCTGTCACAACAACAGCTGTGATATTTAAAGGCTGAGTCCGTGACACTGACTGTCTTGTTTTTTTTATTTTATACATGGTCAGACGCTTGCTCTGCGGGACTGGGTGTAATTGCAGTGGGGCAGGGAGGGAATGTAAATTGTTTCAGAGGAAGTGCCGGAATGTGGTGCGTTATCATGGGACATAATCGTGCAATCCTCATATAAGGACAATGGAATGGTGGAATAAAAGCCAGGGCTCACAGACAGAGGCTGCTGTGATACTCGGAGATAAGTCGCTGACTCCAGATTTTTCTCGATGAAGTGCTGCTATTATCTCCGCTCCAGTAAAAAAAAAAAGGGTGATTACATATTTGGATGGTCCTTAAAATTCCTCAGCAGTGTCCTTCCTCCCTGTTCTCCAAGTGCACTTAACACTGACATTTCACTCGCTACAATAACACTGTGACTGCTGCCAAAGCTATCTGGCCTCGTCCACTTCTTACAGCCTCTGTATCTGATGTTTGGAACCTAATCTCTTACAGGAGTTTACTGATGTTTGTCATTTTCTGTGTGTTCATGTGTGTGTGCGTGACAGAAAGGAAGACGCAGCTGTGTGGACAGGTTCAAACACGCACCAGACGGAGAGGCAGACATCAACAGAGAAACCTTCACAAATCCTGACAAAACTGTTAAAAAGCTGCCTTCAATAACAGGAACTCTGACCGGAGAACAATTAGCAACAGTCAACTAGACATGTTTAAATGGCTTGATTTGCTAAAAGCTATTTTAAATGTTCAGCATTTGAAACCTTAAATTAATGTTTACTAATCATTGGCTTATTGTCATGCTATACCCGTGCCTAACCTCTAGTTCGTACAAAATTAACTTTTAGTTTAGCTGTAGTTGTATTTGGCTAACTGGTGTCTGGGCTGTGTTTTCACAACTATAATCTTTATCAACGTCATTTGATGTTGTTACCTTGGACACGAAGCACTCTGCGATGGCCACAGGGTCGGTGTTACACTTCTCGAGGACATGCAGAAGGTCCCTGAATGAAAGACATTGCGTCAGGGAAGTCACATCGGTTCATGGGAAAAAGTCAATGTTTCCATCAATAACACAAAATATTGGACTTTTTCTTTTTTTCCCACCATTCATTGTGTGAGGACTCAGAAGTCAGACTTGCTCTGAACAGGAGTGGAACTTCCATGAATTCATTCAGGGAGCTCCCATATGCATCCCTGCGTCTGTGTGTGTGTGTGCGTGCGTGTCTAAGTACATGGTAAGATAAAATGGCTACTGTTGTAGGTCATTGTTTCATAGCTAAAGCATGAGGTCATTGTCAGCACTTAAAATCTCTTTTTATGTTCCTATTTTTACTGGAAGTTTTTTTTAAAGAATTGTGTGTGTGTGTGTGCAGACCACCAGGGCTGATTCTAAACCAACTAACCTATTCTGGCCGTGACAGTCAGTGACTTCAGAGTGGTGCCAAAGGAGACAAATATGCAGACAAGGACTGACTTTACACACACACCATAAACAACCAACAGGTGTCTCTGGACAGTTTTACTTTGTGCCTGAGACAACAGTCGGTCAGTGTTTGCCTGTGTAACCAGTCAAAGTCCAAGTTGAGTCTCATGTCATTTGTTCTGAGTCAAGTTTGTCTCTTTACCTCTAGAAAAAGACTCACAGGACACTGGAGATGTGTTACACCAGGAACAACACAAGTACAAGTTACAATACTAGGTTATTCTCGCTGTGGATCTGGTCAAAATTGTTTTTTTCTTTATTTTTCTGATAAAGCTGTGCAGTGGTTGTCGTGCGTCCATGATGTACCTGTTAAAATGGTAGATGTCCTGGATGTTGCCGAACAGAGAACCTTTATCCTCGGAGTTTAAAGGCAGTCGCAACTGGTTGTCTATAATCTCCAGGTAGTCCTGCAACGAGGAAAGGAAAAGTCAGTTATAAACCTGTGGCTAATACTACCATGGTAACATTCTTTACTATTATTTTAGCTTTTCTTCCAGTTCTAGCCCAACTTCGACCAGCTTTAGCAATTTCTTTTAGCAGTTTTGGGGTTCAAATCTTTAGTGTGTTGATCAACCAGTGCACCATTTAATTTACTGTGGAGGTGCAATCGTTGGTCTCCAGCCATTGCAGTTAACTTAACTTAACTAAGAGGTGATTTTAATGTGCCTTAAATCACTGCTCAATGACCATTCCACTGTTTTGTGTAAACATCCTAATCAGTGGGATGATGGGGATCAGGGTTAACACGCTGGAAAAGCAGGTAGCGTTTGTCTGCTCAGGCAAATTTAACACCAGGATTTCTTATCACCGCCGCCATCACTGCCGTTAGAGAGATGGAGCGCTGTTACGACTCCGCTCCCAGTCTGCCCTGCAGATAGAAAGTAAAAGGTGCACGACGTAAACCACACAGACCAGGAGCGAGCGGCAGGAGGTGTTGAAACTTTAAAACCAAATGTTATTCCTTGGCGATCCAGTTCCTCCACTCTGAGCAGACAGCGTGAGGATTGTGTTTATTTAATATTCTTCCACACCACAAATTGTCCCCATGAGATCAATAAACTACACTGTTATTACATCAACTGCCTCAGGCTCCTGTTATTCATTCATTCCTTGGAGCCCCCAATCATTTCTATGTCATCTTGTTGATTGTTGCCTGTAATGTGTAATAACTGCCTGGAGGAAATAAATATATTTCTAAGGCTGCAATTGGGGGGTGGGGCGTTAAAGTCTTTCTTTTCTTTTCTCTCTTGCTCCTCAGGTTATGCCCTGATATCATCTTTCCCTGCAGGCAGAGAGAAAAAAAAAGCCAACTCAATATAACACAAGACTCATTTATAAGCATCACATTAGACGCCAGATATAAAGACAAAAGACACATTTCCACAGTATAGTACTAGGAACTTTTTAGGGACCAGAACCATTGTGATTGCAGTACTTTCTATAAATGACTGGGGTGAAAAAGTTTGTATACTTCAACTTAGTTCCTGGGTAAAGTTACAGGTCTTGGGACTAGTTCATGTGCTGAGAAAGTGCACTGTTTCCATCCAGGTTGGTCCTCTTCACACCACATTTAAATATCCACTATCACTTAGTGGAGTAAAGGTCAGAATCAGGTCAGTAAATCATATGTTTTTATTTCCTTAATGTAGTTACTGAGTAATTTAGCAGAAACAAGATTAGCCTTGGATCTAATCTGTAAAATGGACTGAGTGACTTATCGTGAGTAAAATGTGTGGTTGACCATAGATTTGAAGGAGGGCTGTTTTTATTTGCTGGCTTACAACAAAACAACCCAGCTGTGTCGCAGTTTATGAGGGCATTAAAGGCGTTTTATACAATTTTACCGAGATCACCCTCTAGTGGAGCTTACAGTAACTACTTCTGACACCCTGAAACAAACTCAAACATAATTTTCTCACTTACACGCATAATTAAGTATGTCTCTTCTTTTTTTAAAATATGATTGTATTTAAAATAAAGACCTGAGTCAAAGATTTTGTTGCGTGAAAAGAGAGAAAAATGATCTCATCTTAATCAACACTCATGAAGTCGTATAATATTTGGGATTAAAGAAAAGCTGCAGGCTGAGATTATGGTTCCTATGAACCAATGAGTAACAAAAAACGTGAGGGGTCAGATCAGAAGGTCATGTTTGGATTTTGTCAACTATCATAGGTGATGTGTAAGGTGACGCTGTATTAGCCACGGGGTCACGGATCTGACCCGACCTGTCCGAGTCACTCATCAAGCTGAGCCCTATACTGGTTGATCCTAACAATGGGCAACACACACAGACACACAAACACACACACACAGCAAAAACACTCTTTTTCATCCACATGCACTCATACACACCCTCAGGTACACTCCCTCTTAAGCGTCAGTAATAACATGTACAAACTTGATACTTTTTCGTGTTAACCATTAACCCACTTGAGCACACACTCCTTCCCGACATAAAAACACTTCCTTCAGTGAGAGCTTTTCTTCCCAGACATTTAAATTTCATGACCTCAACAATTTCTACTGGCCAAAATTCCTCAAGTTAAAATGTCCAGACCTAAAAAAGGAAGAACATTCGGTAGAGAGAAAAAAAAAGATCCAAAAGCTCTGCTTTGAGGTTTATTTATGGAGTGCAGATGAACTTCTTCCACACACTGATCAAAACCATACTCAGTGATCCTTCCAGAACACGGATTTGGATGAACAGGAAGAGAGAGCTCAGTGCGCTGAATTAAATTATTGGAATGCAAAAAAAAAAGAAAGAAAACATCTTCAAGGACCTGGAAACACACAGTATTAACTGATAGGATACTGCCCCCTGTTTGTACTTTTTCCTAATTGTTTTTCCTACTGGTTATACATCAAACCCAAGTCTGCAGAGTCTGTAAAAGTGTGTGTGAGCTTGTGGGCTACCACTGCAGTGCTGACTGATGAGACGCAGGTGAGCCCGAGGGAGTCTGGGTAAATATTTGTGTATAGGGCTGTTCCTCCGTCTTTCCTTGCAGGGAGCAGAGCTGTATGGATAAAACCTGCAGGACAGTTCTGATAATAGAGGGGTTGGTGTGTGTTCTTGTATTGTCCACTGACTGGAGGCTTTCTCTTACCCATGAGTCAGCTGGCTGATGTTAAAAGCTCTCTTATGTAGTCACCCTCACTGCAATCCATCCTCTGAGCACTGTTATTGAAAAGGTTGAAGAAAGACTAAATGCACTCTCTGTTCCCAAACTGCTAGAGAGGAATTTAACTGTGCTGCCATCAAAGTGTGGTCGTCAGGGTCCGGGTGGTCCTTTAAGCTAATGGACAAAGGTGATTTCCAGAAGACAGGCAGCAGAGGTTTATTAAGTGCAGCGTCTGAGCTCTGCTCAGTGTTTTCTTAACCTACTTTAGGCGTTGTTATCTCCACAGCTCAATCCCTCTTCCTACCTTCCCCTCCTGCTCTCTGAAGGAGAGAGGGAAGGAAGGGGTGTGGGGGGCAGCAGCAAAGGGTGGGACATCGATCAGGGTTGACAGGCCAAAATCACAACACCTAAAAAAAAAACCACGCCGCCTTCACTTATCCTGTCTACGGTGAATATGAGCTTTCCTGCCTATCCTCTGACAAGAGCCGTTCCCCCTGTGAACTTTGTGAACCCTGGACCCTGTACTCATAAAAACCGCACACAAAAACACACAGGCTAATGGACCAAAACCAAAAGGGAAAGAAGGGGAGATATGGAAAAATGTGGCCAGAGCTCCAACACGTGCATTCTTGTGCTCACATGCAAAGCTGCTTCCCATACAAACATTTACTCCAACAATTCACGTTCAGCTGCAGGACACAAATGCAAAACAGCCATCCCATGTGTTTGGCACATTTTTGAGAAAAGACAATGCAATTTTATCAGGTTTCACAAAAAAGACAAACAGAGATGAAAAGACTCACTGCACCCAAACGCCAACAAAGCCACCAAGTCCTAACTAGAGGCAGTGTGTATCCACACAGTTCAAAGCCAGGCTAACAAAAGGAGTGCATTTATCTCAGAGAGTGTGTGTGTATACAGTATGTGTGTGTTTTTTTCTTAAATAGTTTTGTGTGTGCGCGCCTGTGGCTGCAGCACAAAGGCACCGGTGTCGTGTGTCTGGGTCCAAACCCCGCCTGCGAACGCAGGTGACCTGATTGTATTAAAAAAGTTCCCTGTAGGCAACGAGCGGTTGGTGTCACGTGTGCGAGGGAAAAACCACAAAGATGTGAAGGGATGATTGTTATCTGGTGAATTAAAGCTCCGTACTCCACCTGGGAGAGAGACCAATGTCAAGCAGAAGTTGGAGCTGAAACGCATTTACGACGTCCCACTGCTGCCGAGCGAAGTTTAACGGAGTTGGCCAAGAAAAATAATCATTTGGCAAAAAGAACGGGTCCTTAGAAGGTTGTAAAACACTTCACACTGCTTCAATTTCTGCCTTTCATACTGTTTCATACAGTGGGGTTTAAATATTAAAACGACTTTATTAAATCTTCTTTGGTTTCACCATCCCCAGAATAAGATATATTACAGTTTAATGTTGATCATTTTAAAGATAAACTGATTCAACTGGATCCTGGGTGAGAACTAAAAAGTCACATTTGGACATGATTTATATATGAGACACTCTGTCAACATTTAATGTTCTGCCAAATATGGAATATCTTTGATGTTTCTGGAACCTTCTGTTTCTCGTTGCTCCCACAGGTAGTGTCCAATTATAAGGTTAGAAGAGTGTGTTTTTTATTTTCTCGGGTCTCTTACCTCAACAATACTTCGCAGATCCTGGACATATATTCTCTCTGTATCCAGTATCTCCTGTACCACCCGGTCCACATATGTTCTGGGTCCCTGACCCGTCCGCTCACCCCCCTCTGGACTTAGTTCTGGCTCTGAATGTTCTGTTGGAGTCTGATCACAGCTCTGCCTTCCTTGCTCCTTCCCTGAATCCATCCCTCCATCGTTTCTGTCCACCTCCTCCCCGCATCCCAGCTGCCGAGCCGGGACCAGTTCCAACCGGATTGCCCCAGAGTCCCTGTCTGAGGTCACTGGGTTACAGTGAGGCGCAGCGACAAGGGTGGAGCGGCTGCCCAGAGAGCAGTGACTGTCCCTGGAGGAGGCGGAAGACGAGGTGGAGCTGTAGCTGATGGGCCTTTCAGCGCAGTCCGGAGAGGAGTCCATGCTGAGGGTGGAGCAGAAGCGCGTGTGACGTAAGGCCGAGTTGCGGAGGCAGCGGGCAGGGATGTCGATGGAACTCAGGACAGATCCAGAGTCCGGGACTTCAGGAAGAGGTGGCAGAGCATCGGGCAGGTAGCTGTAATCGTCTGAAGAATGAAACACAAAAACATGGATTGATGTTAATAGACGTTTGACTTAAAGGGCTTTTTTGGCACTGTGGGAAAAACACACATGCACAACACTGAGCCTTTTTCAATAGGACTAATATAATAACACAGTGGGGATGTTGTGGTGTCTGCCACACCCATATACACAGTCCAGTGAAAAAGGTTTATAGCTCCATAGCTCATCAGGACTCTTTGTCGTGAAATAATCATTACAAAAGCTGTAAAATACAGATATGAAAGTCTCTCAACTGAAGTGTTTTGTGTTTAATAAGCCAATTAAAATGGACGTTCTTGTTGACAATTCCTCCACGCCCTAAAACTGTCCTGTGTTACAGGTGATGATCATCTGAAACAAAACAAAGAAAAAAACTTGTTTGTCTCAGCAACAGTATTTAAGCACTTATTCTCAACTGTCCCAAAACGAACTTTTTTTTGTTTCCCACAAACTCCACGATTCCTTTTAGTGAACATTCGTTTTCACGGCGCAGTGCTGTAAACGTATACGTGACGACTCGGCTACGTCTGTCATATTGGAGTGGCGGTTCGGTTATTTTTGCGTGCCCTCAGCTCGGACTACAGGGGATAACTTAACTCAAAAGAGTTCTGTTTGCTTTACAGTTGTCATTTTTACACATTCTTAACAGCTTACCAGAAGAATGATCATACATTTTCCTTTTTAAACCACCGGTTTTCCTCAAAACCCTTCCTCTTTTTGGCAGAATCCGTTATGTCATCAACGTCTTTTCCTCTCTGCTCTGGTGCGCTGCCCGCGAAGGGTAAGCACGTGATTTGATTGGCTCAACCGCGTAACGATATTGTCGTATTAACGGTAATAGCAGCGTCCGCTGTCTATAGCCGGAATCGTAGGGAAAAATGCGCAGTGAAAATAATCGAATCTATCGAATTTGTATCACTTGCTCCGGATTTCGATCTTGATATCTGGTCGAGATTCGGACGAGGATAATGTGTGTGACGGAAACAGGGCTTGTAGCTAGTTAGATAGTAGCTACTTAGATAATGCTATGTTTACGGGAATTTGTTAAACATATACAGAAGGCTTTTCAGACGTGTTTTGATTTCTTTAATTGAACACATTTTTGTTTTATTAATTTAAAAAAAATATATTATTGTTACAGCTTCTCCCACTTTTATCTTATTTTGGACTATAAAACCCAGTAAAGTTTCTAGCTGAACTTTTAGATATTTTTTACTCAAACTTTGGCTAGACCTATTTCTGTGACCTGTCACTCAAAGCACACCACTGTGTTCCATCCAGCCAATACACTTATGTTTCTATTTACCAACTCTACTATTTGTGTTGTCACATACATGCATGTGAGAAGCTGAAATGATTAATAGAAATCTGTCCAAAACAGAGTGGCTCGCGCTGCATCTGTAAACCAACCTAATTACAGTCCGCCGCATTGCAGGAAGCAACAGCTGGCCTTCAGATATTTTTGCACTATCAAATCTGCACAAAAAATAGTTTGGATGCTTCTGGTAAATATGAAGTGGACCATCTGGCTGCAATAAAATGTCCCATTCTGAAGCCTCAAGTCGGACTAAAGAGTATGTAGGAGAGTAGGACAAGGCCTGATGTATCGGAGGTTTTAAGGAAATAGCCCAGCTTAAAATGGCTTTTGGTTCGGCCCATTTCTTTTACAGGATCTATGGCTTTGGGCAACCTCAAGGCAATAGAACTTTCCAAAAGCTTTGCAAGCAACTCTGTCCTTGTGGGCAGCGGAGGTGGCAAAATCTCTCAATAAAGAAACCTAAGGAAACTCTGAGTGTAAATATGGTGTCAACTTAATCTTACTTTTACCTACAACAAACACTTGTTAAAATTCAAATCAACACACTTGGACTCACATTCTGTAACTTCTCAAAACCTACAAACTACCATTGTATCCTGACTTTCAGCGTCAGTCGTAATGACCACCACAGACAACAGTCTCACACAGGTTTGTCCTCAGCGTCACCCTAACAGATGAAAACTGAAGTACAGTACATTTTCAAGTCCTATTTGTTTGTATGTGTGGTTAAATTATGTGTATGTGTGTGTGTGTGTGTGTGTGTGTATGGCTGCAAGAGTGTTGAGCATTTTTTCCATCCACACTCCACAGTTTAATGACAGGCTGAACAGTGTACTACTGAGAGCACTTCACTGCGAGGCCATGAATGAAGGCCCTATTTTCAAGGCAGACACACAAGTTTGTGTGTGAAACTCCAGAAATCTACTGGGCGTCGAGCCGCTGCCAAACTGGCCCTCAACCTTGTGTCTGTAGAGAGATCCGTTAAGATATGATTACTAACTCCCTTGGCCCTTACATTCAGGCCAAGAGCTAAAGTGAAACCACACATGCAGCACATCAGGCAAGGGCTTCAACGTTTCCAAGGTCTCCTTTGAAAGGACGGCTTTGACGGGAAAAGTGAGGAGCAAATATACACGAGGAGGACGGGAAAAGGAAGGACAGGAAGAGACTCACACCGTCTCAGTGGGAGTGTGAGGTCTCTTATTATCAAAGAGACCACCTTGGCCTGTGAGCCAGCTGCTCTGCTCCAGTGCTGAGCTGCTACAGGACCAGTGTCTCTCCTTTACGGCGGCACCAGATCAGTCTGAACAAAAAAAAAAAAACCTTCTCACTTCAAAGCCAGCCTAGATCACAGAGATCAGGTTCGGAGAAAAAAAAACATGAAACGTGAAACTAAAGGACAAGCTCAAAGAATCCTGGGTACACACTCCCTCTCTCACCTTTCAAATAGGTACCTGGAGGTCTTTTTGGTTGAGGTGACACCTCGTCTGAGGGCACTTCAGCAGCAGACCTGCTCGTCAGACTCGCCTGTGATCAGAAGATCACACGACTGGTTTCCAAGTTCAAAAAGCTATAAATCTGTGTTTCTTATTTGACTATTAAAATGCCAGGATTCACAGATATGAACACTGAAATTATTTTATGTTGAAAAATATATGGCATCACAAATTTCCCAGCTTTGTTGGTGACCTTAGTGTTGGGTTGGAGTTTCAAAGCACGTCGCCTGAAGCTGTTCATCAGACACAGCTGCAACATGTCAAACTGATCTACTGTTCAAAAATGCTGAAAATACTTTTTTTCCTCTGTGACTGCTTTTAATAAATTGGGATTTGTGTTGCAGCAGTTTTAGGCTTTTTATGTGAAGCTGCAGCAGATGTTCAATTTGCATCAAGAGCAAACTAACATAGCATTTAAGTTTTGGAGAAGAAGCCACAGCAGACAAAACAGCCATGCACCCATAGTGCTGCAAATTCCTTGCTATTATAACGTATCATTTTTGTGCTTTTACTTGTTGCTGTGAGGCAGGAGCCAGAATTCCTCTGGACAGACACCTTGACACTCAAAGATAATAAAAATCACATTTCTGTCTAAAATTTTTATTTAGAATCCAGTAGACCAGATTGGACGGTCAGTGGGCGGAGTTGATTGACGACCACTGCAGTAAGGTGTAGTCTCAGGATGGTAGATTTTTAAGGAGAGAACATTTTTGTTGTGGTATTTGGAAAATCTGTCATGGTTTACATTATCTACTAAGTCTACTCGTCTTAACCATGTTTTAAGTAACAAACAGCTGGATATTGTTTTTTCACAAATACTTGCCAAAAAAATGGCTACAGTGGTTCTGAAGTTGAAAGCACTCAAAGGTTAATCATAAATCACGGCGGTGTTTGTCTTCACAAGTGGAAAATTTCATCAAACTAATCCTGATAAAAGAGAACCAGTCAGTTCCTGGTTTTTATGGTTCCATGTTCTTAAATCAACCTCTAAAGGAGGAAAACAACTTGGATGTGCTGAATCATGGACTTTGCTCAATATTAATGTTGCGGGGCTGCCGTGCCAAGAAAAGCAAAATAGAAGTGTAGCGTTTCAAAAGTGGAGTGGAGGCTTTTCATCCACCTGATAAGCTATGACAGCAACGCAACTCTGTGCACTGGATTCGTGCACGTCATTGGGCGATGGACGAGCTTAGAGTCTCTCCGATGTGACCCACTTCTGCAACAATTACAGATCAGAAAAGGGGGGGAAAGAACAAGAACATGACAGCCTTGGCTTTTGGCACAGGGCCTAATATTATGTTACACACATGAATGGATTACTGATCATTTTCTGTGACCTTTGACCCATCTGTCACATATCATTTCCTTATCACGTTAGCTGTTGCATGTACAGCTATGCTGTGTGCAGGTTCAGTGCACAAAATGCATTAGAGTTTATCGCTGCAGAGATAACACCACTGAACTAATAACCCTAATGCTCCCTATATCAGGTATGGGGCAAGTATGCACGTGCAACCTGCACACACACACACACATACACACACACACACACAAACAAACATATGTGTGTAAATACTGAGACACCATGTGTTTCCGTTTGCAGTGAAATTCAAACACCACACAGAGATTGCTCCATCTCCTGTTTGTTCAGCCCCTCCTTCCCACCTCGTAGCATAATGTTTGGGGCACACCGCGTCCGTTTCCTGGGTGAACCGGCTCTTGTGCACACACAAATTACCTACACTCCCTCCTGCATCACACGCTCACACCCACACACACACAGTGAAGATGGCCAGGCTTTGGTTACGTCCTGTGCAGATTATGTACAACCCGATCCTCACAAATGATCTTTAATTATAGTTGTGAGGTATGCAGGTTAGAACTGTTACTGCAGTGTTTCTGCAGTGTTAGTGTGTGAGGTATGTATTTGATGCCAGACAAGACAGAGAACGTGAATCATAGTGTGTCTGCTCAACCTGTAGTCGGTCTCTCTGGTTTCTATTTAACGTGAAAATGAAAGAACTCCCTGAGTAGCAACGTCTGCTTTGCTGCACAGCCAGGTTTTACATGCTGAACAATAAGGACTGTCTGGAAGGCAAACGGTGTGAAACCAAGAGGAACCAGACCTGACAAAGGAGCAGACAGTAAACACAGGTGCTACAACATGCTG